TATTCCGGAGAGAGTATTCTATAAATATAGATATTATATAAATAGAAAAGATGGTTTCTAAGAAGGTAGTCTTAGGGCCAAAAGAAGTTGGTTTTAAAAGATAGTAGATAGTTAAATAGATAGATAGATAGTTAAATAGCTAATTATTTATTAATTAGTAAAAACTAGAGTCTTCTCTCTTAGGCTACCGGATACTTTATAGAGTTAACGAGTAATTTCCTCTTTTAATAGAGTAGTTATTAGTCCTTGGTAAGAGCTAGCTATTTTCTTCTTTAGGCTACTGGATACTTTATAGAGTTAATAAGTAATTTCCCCCTTTAATATAGACTAGATTAATTTTTACTTAGGCTACCGGATACTTTAGTTTAAAAGATTCTATTCTCTAATCTATATATATAAACTAATTAATATTGGTTTACTAGTAATATATAGTACCGTTATATAAGTTATAGAATACTATTTATATAAGGTTAGTAAAGTTATTATTCAGAAGTAGGGATTGCAATATTATAGTATTAATATATAATTCCTAAATCTACTAAACCTAAAGGGATCTAGTCTACTAGTCGAGTTACTAATAGGATACGAGATTATATAACTATATCCCGTATTCTATATCTTATTACCTATATCCCGTATCTCGTATCCCGTAACTTCTAAAGAAATAGCTATACTAATACTTATATACTTTTTTTAAAAGACTTTTAGATATAAATTCTATTTAAGCTTTATTTTTAATTAAGAAAATACTTTTTTAAAATTAATATTATTTTTAATATCTTTAAAAATATCTTTATTAATTTCTTTAACTTTTAGATTTATTATTTCTATTTTAATTATTTAATTTCTTTATTTATTAATAGTTCTAATTTATTAATATAAAAATACTATAATTTTATATTAACTAAATCTAATAGTTATTATAAAATATTAATAAATAAAAATTAAAATAATATAATTAATATATAAATGAAAATATAAAGTCTATTATTATTATAACTATTATATAATTATTTAATAATATTTAGTAAATTAATAAAATAATATAAAAGCTATATAATTAAAGAATATAAAAATTCGTTTATTATCTAGTTTTAATTATTATTAAAATCGAAATAATAAAAGCCAAGTATTTTTATTACTATTAAATTATATATATAAATTTACTAAAAGTATTTAATTATAAATATAAAATAAATGAACTTTTTAAAATTATTAATAATATTATTAATATTTAAATTTTAAAAATAATTTAAATAACTTTATTTATTTTATAAAACTGAAAATACTTATATTTATATTTTAATTATTTTATAAAATTTAGACTTTTTATAAATTATTTAAAAGTTTTATTATAACGAGTTTTAATTAATATTTAATAATAATTTTTCTAATTTAAAAATATTAATATCTAGTTTAAAACCGTTTTTTATTTAATTTCTTTTTCTATTTCTTATTTTATAACTTTAGCTATTCTAGTATTTCTTTTTTATATTTCCTAGTTATTAAATAATAACTTTATATTCTTATAAAAATTTTTAATAACATTTTATAATTTTTAATAATTTTCGGATTTTTTTAATATAGTTTTTAATAGCTTTTAGAAGAATTTTATTTATTTATTAAAAAAAATTCTTTTATTATAAATTATTATTTTTAATTTTTAATCGGCTTCTAATATAATCTAAAGTATTAGTATAATAGGAAATAAAATCGAGAAGTTTATATATAATAGGCTTTTATAATATAAAATTATAATATATAAGTAAAATATAAAATTAAGAAATAAAAGTTAGCTAATTTCTAAAAATAAAAAATAAAAACAGAGTAATATATAGAAATTAAACGTTTATAGTTATATAATTATAGAAAAGAAATCTCTATTATATTAGTTAAAGCTAGTTAAGTTTTTTTTTTAAGTATTTATAATATTTTTATTAAATACTTTACTAATTTATAGCTTTTTTTATAGTTTTTCAAATATATTTTTAATAAATAATAAAGTGTTTTTATATATAATTAATAAGTTATTTATATAATTTAGAGCTTATAAGCGAATTATATTTAATTTATAAAACTCGGTTTAAATTTATAAATAGTTAATTAGCTTAATAAATTCGAGAAAATAAAATAAATATAATTAGTAATACAAATATTTCTTTTAGTAAAGTAATTATTTTCTAGATAATTTAAATAATTATAATAATACTTAAAATAATATCTAGAGCTTTTACTATAATCTAAATTATAGTTTAATATATATTTATATTAAAATTTAGAATATCTAAAAAATAATAATAATTTAATATAAAAAAAAGTTTAAAAATATATAATCTAAAAAATAATCTAAAAGAAATAATCTATTAATAATATAGCTTTATTATATCTAAATAATTAAAATAGCTATATTAGTAAATTATAAAATTAGTTCTATTTCTATTTACTAATAATTAAACTTCTAAGTTTAAATATTATTTTATATTATTATAGTTTAAATAAACTATAAAAGTGAAATATATTTATATTTATATAAATATATAAGAATAACAGTATTCTAATAGTAGTAAAAAAGCTATATCTATATCTATATATAGTATATAATATATATTAATTTAATAGCTCTCTTTTTAGTTACTTGCTCTAAGTATAAATTAGGTCTATTATTACGAGGGTCTTATTCGAGACTCGGGAGCCTGTCCCCCAGAAATAGCTACTAAAACTCGACTGAAATAAAATAATAAAGCCCTAGTCTATATTTAGCTTAGTTAATTAAAAAATTGAGAGATCAAATACGTGAGTCGCAGCTCAGGGTCTACTCAGGTTACTCAGGCACCTGGGGGTGAGCTGAGGGTGATTAGCGCCTGAGTAGAAGCGGCGAGCTTTACTAACCGACCTTGGGGACGAAGAAAAAAATAGTTGTGTGCAACTGCCACAGTGGCCAATCGGAAGGTCACCGCCAGCTACTGCTGGTCTTTGCAGTAGAGGAAGCGGTCTTTCTCTGCCAAAATTCTGGGCTTCGAGAAAACAGGACCAGATTGCTGCCAAAAGTACCGACGAGTTGAGTTCTGATTTCCATGAGTGGATCAGGCGTTCTTGTATGCCCATCGAAAGTTTGAGCAAGATTTTGGACTACCTCCATATTGCTCGATGGGATATGTTACCCCCCGTTCGTCAATACGAGCGATTGATCAATCGGACCTAAGCGAGGAGCCCGATTCGCTAATAAAAGTGCCCGATTTTAAAATAATTTATAACTTTCTAATAAAGTATAAAGGCCAAAATTTAATTAAATAAAAAGGATTAATACTTATAAGAGACTTAAATAAAGTTTTGTTAGATTAAATTCTATTAAAGATTAAAAGATATATATAATTTTATATTATTAAATTAAAATTATAATAAAAAGGTTTTATAGTTCTAATAAAAGGATAAAGCTAATATTACTTAATTAATGTAATTAACTAAACTATTTCTAATAAATTATATTAATAAGATTTTAATAATTTATGAGTTTTAAAATATTTTAGTATTTTAAAAATTTGCTCGTATTCGACTTCGTATTTATAAACCGGAGTTCGCTTAAGCAAGCGATTAAGCAATCGGGGCCCGCGATTGGGCAATGGGGACCCCGATTGATCAATCGCTTGTATCGACGAACGGGGGGGAACAGATAGGGTACCTGATAAAGCGAGTTGGGACGTTTACAATAAAATTTTGGAATTTATATTTATGAAAGAGAAGGTAGACGGTGGCCAAGTGCCGGGAAAGACTAAAACGACTTCCCCCCAGGTGTCGATTGAGGGCAGTATATCAAATGAATAGAGTAGAATAGAATAACGGCCGTTACTCTTATTTTATTCAACCTAAAAATCCGTTACTCTTATTTTATTTATATATTATTTAAGCTATTTATAAATAATTATAAATAACTTGAATAATATATATAATCTCTATATATAATTAAGCTAGCCTAATCTAGTAAGAATTCCGGAAAGCCTATATCTAGTACTATCTTACTATCTAATTAGGTAGTAATAGTACTTAGTAAGTAAATTAAATCTTAGTAATAATTAGTTTATTTATTATAGAAAATCTGTATTTAAATAGCCTTATATAAGTATTAGCTTAGCTTATATAAGGCTATTTAATAAATGCTTTAGTTTCTTTTTTAAATTTAAATATATATTAATTAATTATAATTAATTAATTTCTATATAACTTCTATATAGTTATTTATAATTATTCTATTTTACTTATATTATTTAAGATATTTATTACTTTTATTTTATTTAAGTTATTTATAAATAACTTAAATAACTTAAATAATTCTTTAATATACTAATTAAAGTTATTAATAGAGGCAGAGATATTAATAACTTTAGACTTTTCCAAATTACAAGCTAGTAGCTAATTTATAATATTATTTAAGCTAATTACTATTATTAATTAGTAAGAATACTCTTATATTTTCTATAATATAAATTAACTTTTCTTATTAAAAACTATATTATATCTACTAGATTTAATAATAAATAAATACCTGTCCTTATTTATATCTACTTTCTAAGTCCGACTTCTTAAATAGCCTATTAAATATATTTTTAGTATATACTAATTTTAACTACTATAAAATATATAAGTAAGTTAGAATATATTTTGCTTTACTATTACTATTACTTGAGTATATACTCGGTATATAAAACCCATATACTTAATATATGCAAACCCTAACCTATAGAGCCTTTAAGCTTTAATACATCCCAATGCGGGAAGCTCTCGCCGCTTCCCCAACCGCCTAGAACTAACCCTAACCCCTGACCCTAAGCCCCCTTATAAGCTCGGGACTAATCCCAACCTTTCTAGCTTATATGCAAAGTATATGGAGAGCATATACGGAGCACATGCCTAAAATATAACTGCCACAAAACCTATTCATTTGCTCGGCTAGCTGTCTCGCTTCTTTAAGCGATAATAGTAATTAGCTAAATAAACGAGTATATGCAGAGTTTGATAATAATGATCAGCTTAAGCGATACTATGGATCAACTAAAATCTCCCAAATCGCTCACAGTAACTAACCATCATCTGCCGGCTGGCGCCAAAGTCCTCCTATACAACCACTGACCGAACCTCACAGCCGGCTCATCAAACAACTTCGCAACGCATTCCGCCACCCATAGCGTAAAAGGCAGCAACACCAGATGCGGCAGCAGAAACGCCACCTCCAGCCCAAAGGGTCCCCATTTCGGCAACGGCACCAGATCCACCCACCCGGGGATCCCCTCCTTGTGAGCCTCTCTCACCCAGCCGACAGCCACATACAGCCGATCACCCAACACCCACAGCACGGGACCGTGAACGAGGTATAAGGCGAACGAGATCCGGCCTAGGTATTGGCAGAAGCGCGTCTCGAAGAAGGATTTTAGCCAATGTATGCGAGGGACGGCGGGCACGACGAATGCCGCGGCCCAGAAGAGGTAGAAGGCCTTGTAGTTGAATACAGCCTGTGGCTGCAAAAACGAAAGTGCGTACCATCCCGGGGAGGCTCGCAGATCCTTTATCTCGTTGTTGTGAGAGGGGACGCCGCCTAGGTACATGCCGATGCAAAACAGGTTGTAGAAGATCAGGTCTTTGTAGGCTTCGAGGCGGTAGAAGAGACGGGGGAGTTCCTTCTTCTCGGCCAACAGGTCGAGTTCGGAGAGCAGCTGGCCCATGGCGAAGAGCGCGCAAGGCCAGCCGTCGACGATGTAGAGGAAGTAGAAGATCAGTCCGGTTTGACACCATAGTCGCGCGGGTTTTGAGCAACGAGAGAGGGCCAGCACGGTGGTGTACACGATGATGGATCCTTTGAGCTCGTGGGGAATCGTCCAGAGATGAGGATTGTAAGTGAACCAAGGCTCTCCACCGGCGTTAAAGAGGAAGGTGAAGTTCTTGATCTCTGCATACCACATCCAGATGCTGTCTCTGTAGTTTGATTCCCATTTCACACTCAAGGTCCAGAAACCGAATGTATGATGAAGGGTGATGAAGACGAACGTGGTACAGATAATTGGGATGTAGAGTCTGAGCCAACGTCTGAAGACTGCGGACGCCAGGTTATCATTCAGCTTCGCCCATTCCCCAGCATAAATCAATGCTAGCGGTTTTGCTGATAATACGTAGCCCGAAATAACGAAGAATATGGCCACAGCAAAATGCCCTCCTGTGAAGAAGTTTCGTATGAAGTGGAAACTGGCAAAATAATGTTGATTGTTGAAACCGAAGCCGCTTTCCAGGATCAGTTCGCTCCCTTCGTGAGCCCAGAGGGTGTGGTGGTGCCAGTAGACCAGGAAGGCCGCGAATCCTCGGAGGCCGTCCAGCCATGATGTTTTCATCAGTTCTTTCTGTCGCCCGCCGCGTCGGGTCAGGAATGACGGTCGGATGATGTCTAGTGCCCATTGCAATGCGCGTGAACCTCTCGAGGTGCATTTTTGGTCTGGCTGGCCCTCCCAATACCCTTGGTCCAAGATCCCTTCGTTCTTAGGATACATCTTGACAGTTATCGAGTTCGGGAAAGAGAGTTAACGCCCCCGTTATCGCGAGGCTGGATGTTGGAATGGCGAAAGAAAGTCTGAGGGTATTCGAAACTCCAAAGATGGCCCAAGAAATTTCATAGTGAAATGATAGCAAGAGATCGCGAACCATCCGCAGCTGCTCGACTAACACTGAAACGGCCTAGCCATGCGAGCAACCAGCGAAAGCTTCTTGGGTCAACCCACACATCTGGGGTGCCACAAGCCCGCCCCACCGTACTGTGCACTGTTATTCGAGCCCACCAGCTGGCACTTGCAGGCGGAGAGGCCCAAGAGCTCCGAGGTTAAATTTCCATGCGGGGCCCCCTACGCCGATCATTTCCCCCAGGACCTTAATTACAACCACCAGTGAGAATGGCATCTCGAGAAACATGGCGCTTGTCACATGTGTATAGACCAACCTCCATGCCCCCAATTCCTCGGTCTTCGCAAGAAGGTGCGCGTGGAGTTTAAACTTGGAGTTGACAGGGTTGCGAGCCCCTCCTTTTCCAACGCGGGGAAGTCCCAGCGCCACCAATTCAGCAACCAACAGCTTGTCGCGTCAGCGGCGGCAGGCGTTCCCGCCTGCATTAGAGCCAGATTTGGCACTGTTGCCGTGCGCGGAAGCGCTGCCGTGCAACGCAGACCCTGTTTGTCCAGCGCGTCGGGCCTGGCACATGAAAACGGTCGTCTACCGAATGTCGATCACTGCACTTCCTCACACCTCCTCCGTCCTTTATGTGACTTTGAGAAACCGAGGACAGGTCCACTTCAGCCTTCCTCTGTGCTGCCATGATGGGATCCCGAAAACGAGGGCTTGACACACCGTATACAGGCCAATTGCAATCGTCTAACGTCCCACCAACTAGAGGACTTCACTAGAAGTAGAGAGGATCGTTCGTCTTAGTCTTGCGCTACTTTGTGCCACCAATTTGAGGACTAGAAAATAAATGTGGAGCTCAAGAAACTGCCTCGGAGTGCCTTCTTGAAGGAAAGCGAAGTCGTTGACCACGCAAAATGGATCTGAAATTCCAGAACTAGGGAGCCTGCAGTATTGGAAGCCGATGACCTCAAGCTGACATCAGAGAGTAACATATCGTGGATGTGCCTTTCGTTTGGTCCCCCCCCTTTTTTGATGCCTTGCTACGGTCCCTAAACGAAATCTTGTCAGTAACCGTCCAAGAGCGGTCAATCACCAAGCCCTTCCACTTACTGTTTCCACATGTAGTACAAGACTTATTACTCACCGCCTTGTACCGATGCCGCATGTGGGGAACGGCACTCTTTTTGCCATAGTTGGAATTTGTAAAGGCATCTGCAACCAATTAGCCAATCGGACGGTCTGGATTATTCCTGGACGCCACCTGCACAAATCAGAATGCACCGTTGACCTCGGTGGTCGCTCCTCGTCCCGCCTCAGGTTCAATAACAGCTCGAAAGCTTACCACAAGCTAGGGACTTCCACAGACGACCCCGCAGAGCTCGTGCAAGTCCACATCCCCAGCTTCATATGCATGCTTAGCCCCTCATTCATTGAAATATTCAAGAGCTTTTGTCAAGATGGAGAAGTTTCACGGATTCAAGGCCTCGTCGTCAAATTGGAAGCCAAATTTGGGTGGACGATTGCCCAGGCAAATACAAAGAGCTTTGCCCATCTACGCTGGTGTCATTCTCTTCATCCTCTTTCTCTCATACGGCAACTCTTTTACGCCGAAGTTCGAAGTCGCCCATGTAAAGAAGCGCAGTGTCAACGGGCAGAAAGTTCTGGGTGCGGATTCGTTAGCTCAGAAATCGCCGACGAGGTTTCCGAAGAAGATTTGGCAAACGTGGAAGATTGATCCTCTCGGCTTCGAGGACAGAGATTTGACCTGTGCGCGGACTTGGACACAGAAGAATCCAGGTCATCGCTACGAGGTGCTGACAGACAACAATGACCTCTATTACGTTGAAACGCATTTCGGCCCGGAGGGCATCAACCGAAGCGACATTGTTGAGGTGTACAAAGCGCTGACTGCGAAGATCATCAAAGCGGATCTCCTGCGGTATCTGGTCATGTATATAGAAGGTGGAATCTATGCGGACATTGACGTGGAGGCGTTGAAGCCAATTGATCGCTTCATTCCCGAGCGGTACAACGAGGGCGACATTGACATGGTCATTGGCGTCGAAATCGACCAGCCCGACTTCATTGCCCACCCAATCCTGGGCCCGAAATCAATGTCCTTCTGCCAATGGACATTCATGTGCAAGCCTGGACTTCCAGTCATGATGCGCCTTGTTGAAAACATCATGATTTGGCTCAACGAATTATCGAAGAAACAAGGCGTCCCGATATCCGATCTGAAACTCGACTTCGATGAAGTGATTTCCGGGACTGGACCGTCGGCATTCACCGCCGCTGTTTTGGCAGAAATGAGTATCAAGAACGGTTATGAGGTGAAATGGGACACCTTCCACAACATCCCTGAGTCTAAAGTCGTCGGTGGCGTCTTGGTCCTCACCGTCGAAGCCTTCGCCGCTGGACAAGGACACTCCGACTCGGGCAACCACAACGCTCGAACGGCATTGGTGAAGCACCGCTACCACGCCTCCAAATGGCCGACGGCTCACCCGCGGTACAAACACCCGGTGTACGGCGAAGTCGAGAAGTGCAACTGGGAAGTCGAGTGCGTGAAGATGTGGGACTACAACACCGCGTTGTTTGACGGCCTGACGGAGGAAGAAAAGCAGAAGCTGATTATCGAGAAGAACCAGGCCGATATGCAGAAGCAGGCTGAGGATGAAGCGTTTGCGAGGAAGTTGGAGGCGTATGAGGCCGCGAGGGCGGCGCAGGAGGTTGCAAATCCTGCCCCGGCTCCGCTGTTGCAGCCTGCCATGCAGATGCCGGTTGAAGCTTTCCCTCCAGCGCAGCCGCAGGGTTTCCCAGCTGCATTCCCGCCCGCTCAACCGGTAGCAGCTTTCCCTCCTGCCTTCTGAGGGGCTGGACTCGGTTGTTGCGAATGAAAAATTCAATGGGGAAAAAGGAGAAGTTGAAGCCGGGAGAGTGGAGAAGGCGCTTCATCCGCTCCTCGGGTCTGGGGGGGTCCTGGGGGTGAAGCATATGAACGATTCATGATTTCTGGTGTATGGGGGCGGCAACTTAGAGGCAATCTTATCATAGCAGCATTATGGCACAATCAAAGAAATCAAATTAGAACACCAACCTTTTTGATCTCTGGAACGCGTGCTTCCCCGTGATCTTGACAACGCAATAGCTGCTTGATTTGCTCTGACCGGCTGCTATGGGCATTGCCCCCTTGGTTCTCTGACTTGAGGAATTACTTGACAGAGCACCGGGAAGAGATTGGGAACACCTACCTAAGGTACGGATGTACTGACTTCGTATATCACATGGGCATGTTCGTCAGAAACTGCCCGCCCTTGATGCCAATTAGTAGAAGTCCCAGACGTATTCGAGATAATGCATCTCACTATGGGATATTTGCTCTCCGGGAGACGCAGATTAAGTTTCAAGGCTGGAAGGACGCTGGCTGGTCAGGAGACTGGCGTTGCCTCGATGAGCCGCCCCGCGTCCCAATTTCTTGGGCTGGCAGCAGCTACTGATTCATTTTCAAAGAGACTTGAATGAAAGTCTTGGACAATTGCTTTCGTTGTGGTAGATTGGGCGCTAATATTTCCAATGAGGAGCTGGAAGAAAGGGAGGATGAGGAGGTCAAGTTGGTGGTTACCGTGGTTGACTATTGCTTACCGAGGCCTATAACCCCTGTACTGCCAAACCCCCTATTTTTCATAATATTGCGCATTCGTAAGTTGCACTTGACTTTCGAGATTTTTAAATAGAGTAATTATTTAAGTTCCTATTAATCTATTTAATTCTTTATTTAATTCTCTATAAATTTATAAGTACTATTTTTAGAAATTCTTATATAAGTAATTAAATAAAGGAAAATAAAAGTCGAGGGTGCATGAGCTATTTAGTGTCACAGTTCAGGTTTCGACGTTCTGGTCACCTGATACAGTCACCTGACAGGCACGCACGTGGTGCCGCGTAGCTATGGGAATGCGCATGGAGATATAACATGATCGGGTAAACCCAACATATGGCCTTTAACTTGCTTACTTTATAATTAATTATTTTATTCTTTTTTTATGAATTATTTACATATAAAATCGAGAAAGCTTATTAGATAATTAAATATAAGTTACTAGAGAAAATAAAATATACTAAATTATTTAAATACTAGATTTAATTAAATAGCTTTATTAGTTTTAAATAATTTTAAATAGCTTTAAAGAAAATTATTAGTAAAATTATTATATAAATTATATAATAAACTTTATTATAAGATTTAAAGTTTAAAATTAAAAGTAATTAAAATAAGTATTATTTAAAATAAGTATTATTTAAAATAAGTATTATTTAAAATAAGTATTATTTAAAATAAGTATTATTTAAAATTAAAATAAGTATTATTTAAAATAAGTATTATTTAAAATAAGTATTATTTAAAATAAGTATTATTTAAAATAAGTATTATTTAAAATAAGTTATTTTTTAATTATATAAAATAATATTATTTCTTATATTTATTATTAATAGTTTATATTAGTTTTATATTATATTTAAAATATATATAATAGATAAGACTTACTTTAAAGGCTTTAAAAAAAAGAGATTTTTATATCTTTAAGCTTTTCTTTTTTTAATATTAATAATATTATTTTAATTTTAAAAATTATTTATTTTCTTTTATTTATTTAATTTCTTTTCTTTTTAATTATATATTTTCAATTATTTTATACTTGATTTCTTTTCTTTAATTTTAAAATACTTCTTAAATCTTTTTTAAATTATATATATATTTATTAAATTACTTCTATTATTTTTCTTATTTTTTAGTATAAGTTTTTTATTTATAATTTTAGCCTTTATTAAGTAGTTTTAAGTAATATTATAAGAGGTTTAGTATAATATTTAATAATTATTTTATTTCTAGCTTTATTTTAAGTTTATAAAATAATTATTTCTAATAATTACTTTTATAATAAATCTTGTTTTTTTTATATATTAATATTAATATATTAAAGCTTATTTAGAAATACTTCTTTTATAAGAAATTAATTTTAGAATAATATTTAATATTAATAAGCTATAGTTTTTCTAATAATTTCTCTTTTATTATTAGTAATATTTACTTTTTTCATTTTTTTCTTTCTAATAATTTATTTTTCTTTATTTAAAATTAACTTTATATTAAAAATAATAAAAAGAAGTTTAATAAAATAAGTAATTTCCTTATTAATAAATACTTATTTAATAATAGTTTATTTCTAAATTTTAATATTAATTACTTTTATATTAAAATATTAAAAATTACCAAAAATTATTAATATATTTGCTTTTTTAATATTCTTATAAAATTAAATTAAACTATACTTTATATAATTATTAGTTATATAACTTATTTTCTTTTAAAAAAAAGATTTTTTTATATCTAGTTTATAAATATTAATAAAATAAAAAGATTATATTAATAATTAAGGAAAAAGCTAATTAAAAAATAATAATAAAGATTTATATAAAATTATATTTTTTTAAAAAAAGAACTATAATTTAAATTATAAAAATAATTATTTAAATACTTATTAATAAAAAGAAATTTTAATATAAAAAAATATAAGAAATTAATATAAAGATTTAGCTTAAATTAAATAAATAAAATATAATTTATAAATTAAATAATTAAAGTTTAAATAAAGGTTTTTTTTAAAAGTCTTATATAAAAGTTTTTATTTCTAATAATATTTTAAAATTAAATATTTAATATAATTTCTTAATATATTATAATTAGACTAATTAATAATTTAAATATTTTTATTTTTATTAAATATAATTTTTAGCTAGTTTATTTTTTATTTTATAATTTAAAAAGCTTATTTTAATTTACTAAATTTCAAATTTATTAATATTTACTAATATATTTAAAAATTAAGCTATAATAAAACTAAAAGTTTATAATTAAATAATTTAAATTATGAAAAATATAATATTAATATATTTTATTTTTATTTCCTTAAACTAAATAATAAATAACTTATTAATATAATTAAAAAAAAGCTTTATAAAACTTAATACTAGTATTATTAGAAATATTTAAATATTTTAAAATAAGTTTTATTTTTATTTTAAATATTTAGTAAATATATTTAATTATTAGTATAGTTATTCCTTTAGGAATTACGTATATAGTTACGGGATACGGGATATGGGATACGGGATACGGGATATGGGATACGGGATACGGGATATAGATAACGGGATATAGATAATAAGATATAAGATATAGGATATAGGATACGGGATATAGTTATATAACCTTATATTCTATTAGTAACTTAACCGGTAGCTAGTTCCTATTAGGCTTAGTAGATTTAGGGATTATATATTAATACTATAATACTATAATCCTTACTTCTAAAGAATAACTTTACTAATCTTATATAATTAGTATTTTATAACTATATAATAGTACTATATATTTCTAGTAAACTAATACTAATTAGTTTATATATATAGATTAAATAGTAAGAAGAATTAAGCTATACTTACTCGAAATTCGGTTCTTTAGAAGTAAAGCTATTATTCTATATTAAAGAGGAAATAACTATTAATTACCTTTACCTGTAATTCGGTTCTATAGAGAGGAAAAGATACTTAATCTTACTAAGGCCCGACTAAGCTATATTAAAAGAAGGAAATAATAGTTGCCTTTACTTATAATTCGGTTCTATAGGGAGAAAAAATACTAATTCTTACTAACTACTAAATAGTTAGCTACTTAACTATCCAACTATCCTATAAAACCACCTTTTTTATGAAAAATCACTCTTCTTATAACTACCTGAATATCTGGGGCTCTTAAGCTTTAGAACTATCGAGTTCTCCCGGAATCTCGATATTTTATTCCTTAAAATTCACTTCCTAAATTTCTTATTATAGACGAAATTTTTACCTTAAATATAATAACTCCTATCTATCTACTTTATAAACTACCCTTCTTTTTACAAATCTACCCTTCTTATAAATTACTATACCTCAAACTAGATATAAGTCTATAGAATATATAATAGTAAAACCCACTATAGTAAATAATTCCTTTATTAGATCTATCTAATCCGATTACTTTATTCCTATAGGAACTAATAATTTCAAGGAAATAGTAATAAAATAGTGATATAAAATCAATTTTAATACTGCTATAATATATAAGATATCTGAGTTCTTAGATACTAAGCTATTTTAATATATTTTCTATAAAATAGTTAATAATAATCTTTAGAAACTATTTAAATATAACTTTAAGAACTTTACTTATTAAAGAAACTTTAATAAGCTTGAATTCCTGGAGATACTATATCTATATAAGGTCCTTTAGTATAGTAGTATATATATATAACAGAATACTAGTACTCTTACTATTATAACTACTTTACTTTCTATTATTAAAGAAGATAAATAATATATCTAGATAAATAAGAATCTATTAGTAGCTAGACCAGACCTTATTAAGAAACCGATTCTATTAGGCTTTATTACTCTTATAAAGAATAAGTACCTAGAACCTATTATCTTTAATATTTCTATATTATTATTTCTTTTATTATTTCTTCTATTTCTGTATTCTATATTTTTACTAGATTTATATACTAGTATAGAAGCTCTAGAAGCAAATAATATACTTTTACTAGTTCTACTACTTCTACTAGCTCTATTACTACTACTATAACTATATTCGAATACCCTCTAATTATTTTTGACTATAAAACTTATTAGGGAAATTACTAAGATTTATACTAAAGAATAAAAATATAATAGATCTAATAGTAATTTTAATTATAAACTTACTATTTTCTTTAATATCTACTAATATATAAAGCTTTTATAAGAGGTACTAATATAAGCTTTTCCTATTATATTAAAGGAACTAGCTCAAGACTATTTCTATAGTAACTAGCTCTTTTAATATATATATAAAAAGGCTTATATTAATATCTATAGCTTTTTTAAAGGCTCTAGATTCGAATATCGAAATTTAGATATATAGAATACTATTATATTAGCTTCTATAATAGCTAAATTCACGAAAAGAAAATATTTAAGACTATTTAATTACTAATTAATAAACTATATTAACTATAGTATAGTTTTATATCTAATTTATTAAATACTAAATTTCTTTATAATAAAATTATTACCTTTTACTAAGGCTTCCAGATATATAAATATATAATTTCAGACCCTTCTATAAATCTCGGCTAGCTTATTAATAAGCTTTAGTTATCTATTATAATATATAAAAGCAAATAATAAGCTAATCCCGAAACCTTCTTTACTAATTAATAATACTACTTTTAGAATTCTTTAAGCTATTATTTTTCCGGAAATTATTAATATAAATCCCACTATAATTTCGGAACCTATAATAACTACTTTAAGCTCTATAATTATAATAATTATATCCTAAAATCGTATTTTATATATAAGAAGCCCGAATACCGCTTATAGAAGTATATATTAGAGAAATAAGAGACTGAGAAAGCTCGATTTAGAAATAGAAATATTTATTA